CAGCCTCTTCTCCGTGGTGCCCAGCAACAGGACAAGAGGCAACGGGCACAAACTGAACCACAGGAAGTTCCATCTGAACGTGAGAAAAAACTTCTTGACTGTGAGGGTGACAGAGCATTGGAACAGGTTGCCCAGAGAGGTAGTGGAGTCTCCTTCGCTGGAGATATTCAAAAGCTGTCTGGACGTGATCCTGGGCAATATGCTCTAGGTGACCCTGCTTGAGCAGGGAGGTTGGACTAGATGATCTCCAGAGGTCCCTTCCAACCTAAATGATTCTGTGATTCTGTGACCTCAAATGATGAAGGGAAATACTATTCCCTTGGAAGGTTATGTAATATTTAATTTCATTGAATTTGGTGTTCCTTATTTTTCAAAGAATCTGAGAATTATATTTCCAAACACAACAATTCACAGCAAGGCATAAGATTTATGAATCACTGTATCCAAAAATCTCCAAATTTGTATCACTTTGCGCATTTATAAACACATACATATGTGCACAACTATAAGACCAAGAAAAAACAGCAAAAAATGACAGTGACACTGTAAAAATAATGAAGTTCTAAAATCAAGGACTCCCTGTTGTTTTCTGCCTGACCATTAACTGTAGTAGCAGGGATATATCTCAATGCAAAATTTTTTGATATGATGGAAAGAGGGAAAACAGTCTTTTGAATGGTGCAGTTATTCGATGATTTTAGATTCTTGGCCCTTTCCTTTATTTGTTATACCTGCTACTGATTTCATACATTTCTTTAACGCTGCAGTGGAATAGCTTTCAGTTCATGTGGTATCATGAAAGTGAGTGGACACCATGAAATTAATCCACAGGCACGTTTACCAGACTATTTTTTAAAATGGAAGTGTATTGTCACAGGAAACATCACACTACCAATCTCTCTTCTCTAGGTCATCCTCATGAACAAGAAACAATTCATGTTTTTGCTGTTGCTGTTTCAGTTTTGTACGACAAAAACTCTCAAAAATGACCCTGAATCTCCACTGTCATCCTTATACATCCTTTAGTAAATTTAGGCATCATACTTATTTGTGACTTTTACAGTAGCTACTATACTCAAGGACTAAAATCCACACTGATTTCCTCCTTTTTCAGTTTAATGGGGAATTTTCAGGGAAGAAAGAATATAAACTCTTTTCTTCTTCTTTTGCATGACATTTCACTTTAGAACAGTCTTCATTCATATTGCAGTCCCATTAAGTTAAATATATCATGAAGTCTCTTCCAAAACCTTAACTCTTTAACATTATCACGAGCTTTATGAAATATATTTTTGATTTCTCAACTAACATCCATTTGTCACTTCATAAAAAAAACTAGTATTTGCTACATTAGCCAATAATGACAACATTTTATCTTTAGCTTCTTTATTTAAAATCAATTTATATATCATTTTATATCAGCCATAAGAAACTGTTCTCTGATAAAATCTCACTGTTTTGGAATGGTAAGCTCTTAACTACATTGACTTAACAAAATAATACAACTATGCACCCCACAAATTATGATCATAAGGAAAAATCTCTCTCTACTATGTTATGAAAAACAAAGTCATAAAAGTACATAACAACTCTATCGAAAATTCAGGAAAAATACAGAAAAATAAAAGCTCCCTATGGCTTTTGCCTTAATCCAAAATTCTTTACTGGAAATATAACATTAATAAATGGCTTTACACAAATAAATACATATTTGAATAAGTGAAAGCATCTGAAACATGACCTCCTCCTCCTCTTTCAAAATTTCAAATTATGCAAAAGTCAAAATAATGGGCTATACTGGCCAAAGATTGGTTATAAGAGTCTTTATTTTGCAAACTATACAGAAACAGTAAAAAAGAAAACGCATTATATTTTTCAATATTACATAGGATAAACATTAAATTTAGTATTTAATGTGGAGAAATTAATTCAAATAATAAAGTGATTTTCCTTTTAATTAACTGCAGATGAAAATCAGGGAAATCAGTGATCCACTGTTGAAACTATACAACCTGCAGTATAACATTACATTATACAGGTCATTTAAATTTTATTGTGGGCAGAAAGCAATAGATATGATATGAATGAAGATGATGGAGTCCCCAAATGTCTACACAATTAATTAACATGCTAACATAAATACAGTGACTAAAGTAATTTTCTCTACAGTCAAACCTTAAGTGCTACTCTACACAATAATCATAATCTAGTCCACATGGTAATTACGTAACAATAGGGAAAAAAAATTAAAATAACCATTTTCTTCATTCCAGCAGCAGTACCCATACTGGTATTAATTTGGTAAGTGGGTGTGCTTAGCTATTGCCTAACATCCTATACTGGTATGCATGCTAAAACCTCTCTATTTCTATTTTGCAAGGCACCTTACAATATGTTCTCTAAGTTTCTGCACTAGGATCAGAAAACATGATTTAAGATAAGGATGCAGAACTGTTTCCTGAATTACGAAAATAAAAAAGTATAATTAGTTATTTTTAAAACTATCTTGGGGCAACTGCCAATACTCTGAAATACAGCCATGTATAAATGTAATAAATTTGTAAGCAAAGTTTTTTCCCTGTGTAAAATATTTTATGCTAATCTGATTAGAGACAGATACAGAGAAACAACAAAGGGTAAAGTAATTAGGCTGCTTGAGTAAATAATGATAAAGCCTATACGAGCTTGACATGAAAGAAAAATTGAAGGAAGGACAAGAAAACTTTAGATTTACGGAATCAGTACTTGCCCATGCTACTGCATTTGAAAAATCCTTTCAATAACCTAGCCATTTCCTAACAGAAACATAACTACAAATGCAAACACAAAGGAGGACCCTGCATTATTTTTCCCTCCTGTTAGTTCTTCTCCATACCTTTGGTTAATTAGAGGCTGGTGAGATGCTACTTGTGCACTGAAGTTTTTCTACTCTAATACATTTTTGTATTTATTTTATGCACAATTTGCAAAGCCTGTAGGGCCTAAATCATTGACAGAGCTAAAGTTAAGTTACTGTATGTGTTTTGAAGAGCACACACAAAGTTCCAAATAAGGGCAAATATTCTTTTCATGGAAGTTTTTGAAAGTCTGGTTGTCTTTATAGTGTGTTTTGCACATTTATATTTTCAGTAGCACATCACATTTCTTTCTTCCAGCTAGACTTCCAATGTGTTTTCTTCGTCGCAAAGGCATTTCAAAACTCAAGAGCACATAATATAATGATTCTTATTTAAACAAATAAGTCTATGACTCCAGCTGCGATGTTTGTAATAATTATACAAAATATACATGTTTGTTAGAATCCTTTTGATCTTGCAGAGCAAAGAGATTTTATGAGATGTCACTTTGAGAATTTTAGAAAGGTACAATTCACCGACCCCTAATATCATCAAATATATCCATCATGATCATCGTCATCATCTACATCATCATCTCCTTCATCTTCATCATCATCCTCAATTTCATCTTCATCGTTCATTATTTCATCCTCATCGTCTTCATCATCTGTCCATTCATGGAAATCACCAGAGGCAAAATCACCTGAAGTCTCTAAATCAACAGCTAAAAAGGTATGATAGTTATACAAAAGATACACAAAACATAGTACATATTTATAGTGTAATATCTATGAGCATATAAAAGGCATGGAAGAATATTTAGTTTCAAATCAATCATTTATTTTTATTTATTTTAAACTAAACACTGCGACACAAAAATAAAACATAAACAATATCAATAATTTATTGTCCCAAAGGAAAATCACTTCAATAGGGATGAATTTCTCAAGGTTAACAAAAGGAGATTAAATTTGTATGCATTTGTAGAACAATAATGAGTGCCAGGAACAACTGAAAGAGATTTACATCCAACGTAAGGATCACAATAAGGACTAGTGATAATATACACTGTCCACTGTTCAGTTCTTACATGATATCTTGCAGCATCTAGAAAGGATCGCAGATTAGATGGATCCTAGGCCTAAGCTTGTATGTCAAATACTGTGTTAAATTTACCTTTTACTTCAGGCTACATTGTTATACTGCAAAAAAGAGATCCAAAGGTACAATGAGTAACATAAAGCTTTTAAAAAACGTATTGGCATTCTTTGATGTCTGGGACATCACATGGAAATAGGAATTCCTGGAAGAAGTTCCAGGGCATTAGGAGGGGAAAAAAATGGAAGGTTTAGTGTGTTAGGAACTGGCAACTTCTTCACACACAAACTGAAAAAAAAATGCCAAATTGAATTCACTAGCATGCTGAATCCCAGAGGGATTTCATCAAGCATTTTTGGGCTTGTCTGAGGCTGCTCTAAATAATTAATTTGCTCTATCTAGCTTTATATACACTAAGCCAAGCACATATATGAAGTCTATTAATAACTGACACTGATAGGAGTAGCAAAAAATAAAGAAATAATAACAAATTACAATTTACTTCAAAATTCACCTAACTGGGTCCCACCTCTGCTTTTACTGAAGAAATCTGATTAGTAATCAAAGGGAATAACACCTCTAATCCAAACCCCACAGAGTGTTCTTAACTTACCACATTCTGCCACACCATTTATTCTGGATCCTGTTACTTCATTACCGTATCTGTCAACACACCAACATTGCCCTGCACTTCCATGGCACTGACTTGGTTTGTAATACCCATCTTCATCACATAAGGGAATGTACTGCCCTGTGATACGTAAGTATTGAATCACAATATTAATAATCACCTCTTGGCCAATTTAATAATTATAAGATAAAATAATTAACTTTTACTATCTCCTCATTCCAAATTCTCCACTGACTGGTTTATTTTCTATTACTAAATTCAGTTAAGCAGAATATATCAGATATAGGACAGACAGTAATAGATATTAGTGTTGGACTGATTTCAAGTAATAAAAAGGTTCTTTTAAGTTTTTCATTGATACATATTTGCTACATATTCCTTCATCCCTGAACGTCTCAGTCATGATCTTTGATTTCTGTAAGCTGGGGAAGAGGCACATAACTCACAACACTAAATGAGATGTTCTAAAATCAATGGAGTGCAAACAACTTTGTCTGAACAATAAGGATCAGGCTTCCTAGGCTAATGAACTACCTGCTAACAGACTTGGGATCTATTTTTATTTAGTATTTATTTTACAGTCCCTTTAGTGATCCACTAATATTTTATTACCTTACCACTGAAGACAACCACAGTGTAATACAATAACCATATCCACAAAAAATGTAAAATGAGGTATATTAAATCTGTATTTTACATTCTAAATACCTAGGCAAATTAGGTTCTTAAAGCCAAAAGGGCTCCACCAACAGCATTAACGTGAAACAGTCAGTGCCTTATTCTGTTAGGCATTGACTCGCATAATGATGATAATCTATTCACAGTTTTCAGTCGGAAGGAATGGAGATTTTTTAAAGAATCATAAAATGTAGATAAAACACAGTGCATAAAACATTCATCTGAAAACTTTTTGAAGGATACAGTTATCATTAGAAAAAAAACAGTTTTGACTACTTTGGGTCATGTCTTTTATTTTAGCTTTTACATTGAGTCAAAGGGTAAAATGAAGATTTTACATTTCAAAAATCACAAAAAAGCGTAATACCGATACAGTATAGATTGTTTCACAATGAAGATTTCGATTATTTAAAAGATATTACTGTAAAGGATCAGTAGAGATACTAATTTAGGAGTGCCTTAGACTGTCCCCTCCATACCGGTAAAAATGTACATTCTATTAGGGTAATAAAACAGACGTAATATCTTTTGGTAGGTAAGGTAATAAAACTAAGTTTAATAGCTTTCAAAAACTTCATAAATTTTGTTCCTGGAATTTACTGCGGTCTTTCTTTGTTGGATTAATATTGATTTTATGTTGCTGTTTCACTAGGGTTATTTATGTAAGCAATAAAACATTCACAAGAGTGATCTATGGCTCACCTAGGAGCTTCTTTCCTCCTTGCTGCTTCTGAATGCTGCTCAGCTCCGTCTGGCAAGGTGGGTCTAAAATGAAATAAAAAAGGTTAAACAGATTACATCATAACTAAGACTGAAAGCATATGATTAAGTTTTTAAGGTTTGCTACTTTCTGAGGTCATTCTAACTACTGAACTTAAGAAACATACACATCCTATATTACCAGTCATGTTTTAAGTTCTGAAAGAAAACTACTGCAGCTTGTTAGCGCTCCAGAATTATGAACTGGAACACCATCATGGATTTGTGCAGAAGGCCACTCCCAGTTAACCCATTTCTAAGTGAACATCTAGTCACTAGTCTAGAAGACTGAAGAATGCTAAACAAAAATAGTAACTATATGTTTCCCTGTTTCATCAGTCTACAGGAATTAGAGTGCTTCTGTGAAACTTGTATTGGCTAGAATTGGGATGGCTCTTTTATTCTTTCCCTTTTGTCTTTGTTAGAATTCATGTTCAGTTCTGTACTTAACATACTGTACTAATAAAATAATAATTTTCTCCACTGAAGTTTACAAGACTGTGATTCTATCATAACAATTAAAGACTGGATCCCAGGGTTACAAAGCCTCATGTGCAGCAAACTAAATTGAAAACTTAGGGGTAAAAGTTTATTTTGAAAGGAATAAAATACAGAGGTGGCTCTAAGAGGCATAACAGATATTAAATTTCAGTTTTACATTGTTCAGATGCATAGCTTGCTCTAATTTTCTATGCTCTATAAAAAGCAAGTCACAGTATGCCCCACGTATAGGAAAGAAATAAGACTTGAATGTGCATAGGTTACTGTTAAATAAGTGAGAAGATCAAAGACAGCTAAGTACTAATCTTTGAACATTGATACATTAGCACAAAGGCATTTCTCTGAATCAGCAATAGCGTCACTGAACTCACTCATGTGTGCCTTTAGCTTATACCAGTCCCAGGCAATATTCTGATAATGTCTCACTAAAATCTCACGTTCTATGAATACTAACTGCATTTTTCACTTTAACAGACTTTGATTATATTTAGAGTGTGTCTTTGCCAAGCCATTAACTCAAGGCTCTCTTCTGAAACGCAGTGAAACTGGTTTTGTTCATGCATACTTCTGGCATAGGTTAAAGATCAGTAAGACCTAGCTAGCTTATTGATGAGGTGCACGCTTAGACCAGAACACAGTTACTTTACAGGGTAATTACAAAAATCACTTGAGTGGTAATATTCGGGGCAGTCTTCCCCGAATTCCTCTTAAAGGAAAACAAAGAGTTCCCACAACTGAATCAGCCGAGAAAGAATTCTGGACACGGCAGAGAGAAGCAACGGATGCACAACGGAGTGCAGGAATGGAAAGAATATATTAACATGGAGGGGGTCTTTCTTCTGGAAATGCTCAAACACTGGTGATAAATGCCTGTGGAGCAAAGACACTCCAATGACCACACAGCCTTTTGGCTGGCATAGGCTAGATATACCCACAGGCTTTTTCTATTATTCATGATTATTTAACCAAATAAATAGAAACTGGAAGTCAATAGTAACCCTTCACTGAGAACAGACTGTTAACTTCTCTCGGCTTTACATTTTAAATGCATTTCTCCTCAGGAAGATATATTTAAAGCTTATAAAGATTTACAGTGAAATGGTCATCCTGTTCAATCCTTGGCCTCAATTCCAGTGGGCCAAGTTTTCACACTAAACATATAATATCCTATATATAACATATCCTTTTTAGAGTTAAGGCCTTAAAGTAAGTTTTACTTCTAAAATGCCTTTCATAGGAGTCTTAATGCCAGAACAAAATTTCAAGTGATGCCTTTCCAGATAATCAAGCAATTTTCTCTGTGTGCCCTTGAAAACCACTGAGACCTGGCATCACTGGGTGGGTTTTAGCTTTGCTAAATTTAGTGAAGCATTTAGTCTTTGAGTATTTACTGAAGTTACATAGTCTAATATGTTTCTTGCTATAAGAAGTGCTTTGATGGTGAGTATGCTCACTATTATGCAGATACAGTCAGCACTTTTCCAAAGTAATGCTTCTGTCTTTCCTGATATTTAAAGACTTAAACTCTTAATTGTACATATTTAGTAATGTAATAATTCACGTTTTCCACACAGCTGCACTTACAACATTCTGAGGATCAATTATTTCTCAAAATGAAGGTACTTCCAATTATTTTGCAATCTGTTTTGTAATACAGTCATTTATTCACACAAGTAACAGAGGCTAGAAAGATCTACCAAAGAAGATGGGAAATATACTGAATGACAAGAACCTGTTTAACAGGAAAATACATGTATTTTGTTCTATGGAAAAATTCTAAATTAGAAACACAGAATTGCACAAGGGAGCACTAACATGTGGCAATGTAAAAATAATGGATTATGTCTATACAAAAACCTTCATTTGCAGCTATAAATCTTAGGTGGTATGATTAGAAAAAGGAATAGCACTAACCAGAAGGAAAGAAGGCAGTATGAGAAAGTTACTTACCCAAAATTCTGCTTCTCGGAAGATAGGTCTTCAAGATTCACACTTAAGCTTTGTTTCTCAGGATAAAAGTGGCATAAAATTCTTAACAATTAACAGGAAATCACTTTGGTGCTTAAAAACGTCAAAGAGAGTGGCAAGCTAGAACTTTAACTAGATTCCTTTCTGTCCATTGCACATACTTTTTCCTCTCTCCCTGAAGTATAATGCTTCACTTTTCACTTTCCAGCTAGTTCCTGAGTTTGGGAATGGATTCTGAATTTATTTTAATACAAAAGCAGTGTTATTGGACAGCCTTTAGAAGTCTTGAACAAAGGAGACATATCCTTTACAAAAATCGCTGTGCGATGGTTTCCTTTGAAATAGAAATGAATCTTCCAATAAAAAAGTCCTCCTAATAATCTAAATACAAATAAAAGACCTAATCATCTTCATCCTTAATCTGCTTCCATAAATGTGGCTGGAAATGTCTTTCTGACAGTATCACTTCATTGTTCTATGCGATTCATGAACTTTACACTAACCATTCACAGTTCTTCAGTGCTCAAAGTACTGATGTATACCAGGGTACTGCAGGTAATGAATACAGGCCCTTGAGAAACCTGTATTCAGTTGTGTCAAGACGTGCTGCTAAGCTAGTACTACTAAGCTTTGAGGCTATCGGCACAATAACAGTGCAATGGGTGTAAAACTGGTACACTTGACAAAGAATTTCCATAATTTTTAACAAAAACGCCTCAAGAAGCCATTACCCACTAGTGAGCCTCCAGCTTTCACAGATTCTCCATCTTATTCAATTCCAGAACAGTGACTTTTCATATCAAGTAGATAATATATGGCAGAGCCCCTTGCTTCTGACATGCGGTCTATTGCAGATTAAGGCTGCCATGTTGCGTCTTGCTTGTGCTTGGGATCATCTAACTACAATTGTTCTAGGACAACTGGAGTTTTAACTTTACGGATTTGAAGTCATCAATACTGCACTTAAATAAATCTTTCTGGGGACCTCAGTTACGTGCTAGGGTGCATTCCACCTTTCTTCAGAACCATTTATAAACATATTTAAGTGTCCTGCAATCTGAAGAGACTGATGTAATAAACATGAATCACATGAATCTTGATCATTCTTCTGCAAGATGAACTAGTTCTAAAGTCATAAAGTAGTCTTCCAGCCTTCACAGACAGAATAGCCTGTAAGAAAAATAATGGTATCAAGGCACCAAGAGAAGTGCTGGACTAATAGACATATGCGGAAGGCTGCAAGCAAAGAGATGTTCAGGTGCAAAGCCTTAATATTCCAAGAAAAATTCTGCACTTTCCCACTTACTTTTGAGCAGTGATGCAACAAGAACAAGGCTGTAATAATGATGAAACACCGGCAGAGAGAAATTCAGCCTTACTGAAAGGCCAACACTAGAAGTGCCTCAGCATTTATATAAGCACTAAGCATTAAGCCAGCATTTAGAACTACGAAAATAAGTTCTGAAGACAGGCACCGAAGCACTTGAATGAATTGTAGTTGAAAGTGGAGGACAACAGGGACAAACGTGTAAAGAAAGACAGCAATGCACTGGCAAAATGCAGATGCTGAAGAATTGCAGAAATGCATTATATTGTCTTAGATATATCTCAGAAATACTAAACCACACTGAAAGCAGGATTAAGGTCAAGAAAATACTGCAATAAGCAATGCTGAGCCCCAGAGAAGAGTTTAAACAACAGTCAAGATGGAACAGCTGTTAGAAAATCCTTTTCTGAGCAAGAAGGAACTGACTTGAGTATTCATACGATGATACTTACATTGACTAGAAGCAGTATGTAATGTGCAGTAGTGGGCCTAGTGTACTCTAACTCATCACAACAGACCTGCAGTAGAAAGAAAGAGTGATACTGCAAGCACTTGTCTGATCCTGACAGTCTTGAACTGAGAAGCTAAGATCAAAGAGGAAGAAGTCTTCCCAGATAATGACTTAGGTAATACTATGTATTTAAAAAGAGCACATCAGAATTTCTATCCCAGTGTGATATATATTTTTGAGTTAATTTTGTATTCACTTTGAAAATGGTCAATCAATAGCAGTGCTGTAAAACTGCCCAGAAAATATCTGCTGTGCTCAATGAACACAAAGAGCTCTCTTCGTGACCTGAAGTTTCTGTTAATATCAACTAACTTTGGTAAACATCAGAAAGAAACCAATAAGCTTCTCTACCTAGCCATTTTCTTGCTATTTATAGCGCAGGTCTAGGTAAAGACCTTGTTCAGATTATTCCGTCCAGTAAAACATAAACAAACATGAACATATTACAACATTTAGCTTAATGCTGCAAATCACAAATAAAGAATTCTCTGGGTCACTCATACTCAAGAGAGCTGGGACTTGCACATCAGATAGTTGTACAAAAGCTAGTAACAAGAAATGACAAAAAAAAGACTGTAAGTACTTTTTTCTCCTTACATCTTTATAAAAGGTAGGAGAAGATAGATTTTTTTTTGACAGTGTTAATTTGGAGGGATGGAGCACATGTTTAATGCATAAGGATTGTCAAAACTCAGATTTCACCTCATTTGCAGTGCTGAGGATACATCATCTTCACTACACAGCCAGACTCATTGCTGGTATCAGTAGCAATATATCTAACCTGTTTTAAATCAGCATGTTATCACAACACCACGGGAAGGAAAGGAAGAAAAATAGAAAAAGGAAAGAAAAGCTTGATAATGCTAGATTCTGCAAGGGTGCCACTGGCAGTCTGATCACAGTTTTTTAGCCATTAGGGTACCATTAGTAAGATACAGCAGCGTTTAGATCAGTCTTTTATGATACCTTCCTCGATTTGTAGCAGTACCCTGAGCAGATATTTTAGACAAATAGTATTTGTAGGCTTTAGAATGCAAAACTACTCGAAATTAATCTATGGAGGTGCTTTATTCAAGTCTTTATTATGCTGTACACACATTATATGAAATTGGTAGGACAGCCAACTGGTATAAGAACCTTGGCCCATATTAAGCAACATTTTATGTGCTGTACTTTCTCTGACAATTGAAAAGAATTATGCTGCCCTCCAAAGACCCAGCGTGCTTATACACCAACCTGAAAACATTGTGTATTTTTTTTTTTCAAAAGAGGTATTTTTTAAAAAAAGAGAACCAAACAAAACATATTATGTTCTTTACTTGAAGAATAGCTTTGATTCTAGGATGGATAATGCTTCATACATTAGTTCTGATAGCAGTACACAGCTTATAAAAGTGAAAGGCAAAAGATTGTTCTGTAATAAAACAAACAAGGTGTTTTGAAAGATGAAATGTTAGCTTGCCAACCAGGAAGTTGTCAAAGAAGGCAGTCAGTTAGCATGTATCTACAGAAGTACGCCTCTATTCTTATCCAGATTTATAACTGTCAGGTAAGAAACTTTACTTCTACAGAAGTCAAAATCAAACTAGAGATGCTGAGTGTTAATGGGAATTTACCATGTCAGCTTTAAAGGCACAAGTGAGATTTATAAGATGAGATTAAGATTTTCAAAGGCTGGTGTGCAATCTTGTCACCGAGTTGGTCTTACACCTTCTACTGACTATCAGCAAGCATTTGGGGCTTAGTTTCTATTTCTGCCTTTGAAAATCTCCCTCATGTTAATAAGAAAAATGAATCAATGTCTCTGTCCAGCTTCAGCCAACAACTAACGAGTACATTTTTAATTCACTAGAGTTAGTTTGATTATATAATTTGTGATGACTCATCTAGATCTAAAATTATTATATGATCCTTAGAAAAAAAATGCTTATAGGTTGTGTTTATTTGCTTAACCAAATCACATCAGGATGTTAACAAGAGATTCATCTAGCTATTAAAAATCAATTGGTCCAAATGACTGAAAATAACTTTATGCATAATATCCATTCAGTTATTTTTATAGGCTCACAAAATAGAACATTAAGATGCCCAAGGAGAAATAAAGTTTATTTTATAACGTGGGTGAAGCAGATAGGAAAAGAATTAATGTAAGTCATTTTATTCTTCTATTTTGGTCCCTTTCCTCTGCATACTTAGTGGAAGTTGGCATGAGAAACAATATCGCCGTGAAAGCATTAGCTGCTGTTTCACACTTTACTTAGCTTCCTCGAATTTCTAGCAAGCTTTTCCATTTAGCTTGGTTTTTTACTTCTTTTTAGGTATTCGCAATAGATCTAAAACCTTAAAGCAAATTCATGGTACAGCATTTAAGAGCTTGTAGTTCACTGTAATCTTTTAAGCATGTTCAGAAAAGATAAAACTCTGCAGAAAGGTCAATCATCTACACGTGCAGGTTGTTCTCATCTTTTACCTTGCTGTCTTTGGAAGCAGTAGCACCACTCATTGTTAGATATCAAACTGTCCTTGTATGTGTCACAAGAATTGAAGAATGCCTTGGTGCATGGTTCATTCTTGTCAAGGTAAATGCTTCCAAGCTCTGACTGGTCCAACAACAGGTCATAGTTTGTATCAAGCCTGTTAAACATCCAGCCAAGGGAGTCTTTGCAAATTGGCAAAATGCTCGTATCAAATCCTAAGAGGCAAAAAAAAAATCAAAATAATCACATCACAGGAAAGATACAACAGGTGCTGAGCTCAGCCAGGAGAAAAGAATGCTGCATCATGGAATCTGCTCCAGTGGTACATAGATACAGTACAAAAGTAGTGTATGCTACTGAAAAACTGTGTATATGTCAACTTTATTTAAAAAAATCATTAAATTCATCTGCTAAAAAAATTAATCCCACCATCAGTCTCAAAGCATTTAGAAATACAAGCTTTCCTGTCAAGCATTATACCTATAGCAGACACATTATGTAAAGCAATAAATGATCTACAGTGATTTCCAGGAAAATCATTCTCTTGAGGAATTTTAGTGATATCATAAATCAGCAGAGTGAAGCTTAAGTAGTTTGCAATGTTTACAGAACTAAGAAAAGGTAACTTATTGGAGTCCGTATGTTTCCTCTTTACATGTGTATTCAATTCTGTGAAAAAGGATCATACTCGGCCCTAGCAATGCTTATGACAATTTATCTTTTTCTGCTGTGCTCTACATCTTGGGGAAGGTCATCAAAAAGATGACTGCTAGGAGCAGTCTGCTGCCAGTATCAGAGCTATTCATACAGTTTGCATCTTCCTAAATTGTTCCATGGAAAGAGGGCCATCAGGAACACACCGAGCTAATTATTCCCGCAGTCAGAGCTCAGACCTCACATCTGTTTTTCCTGCACCAACCACAAAGAACATGCAGACTTGCATGTGAACATGTACGGGAAATCCAGAAACTAGCCGGCCTCTTCCATCTGTAGAAGACATGAGCTGCGTTCACTATGAACACACATTTTTTCCTCTTCATGTGCCATAGAACAGGGATTCTATGAATGCACCATGCTATATGCATCATTCATTCACCATTATTTGCAAGCGTCATAGCATGTAATACTTACTGCAGCACTGAAATAGACGTGAGTGACTTGACAGACTACATCAGTCACAAATTCTTGGGATTTGTAAAATTTTATAATCTTACTAACAATTGCAATTTCCTTGATATTCATGCTGGTAAGTCACATACTGGTTTAGGTTGCATGTGGCCAGGCAGCTGAATATACATCTTAATACAGAGCAACAATTAGTGCTTTCTAAATACTATTCTCCTAATAGCTTTTAAGCTAAAACTGAAGCACTGAGAAAAGGAGACACAATTCTGCCTATGGCATCAGAAAAGTTGACATGAGAGCTCAGGTCAGCACACAGGAATTCCTAGCTTCTACTAATGTCTTAGTTCCTTATTTAAAAACAATAAAAGAAATCTGAAAAGCATCAAAATACTTCTAAAATAGGTCACATTATGTACCTCAATAATTAGATTTAGAAATCAGTAGATTTCCCTTTAGATATGTAGAAACATCCAGGCTATTAATGCAGAACAACCATTTAGGAAAGGAAATCAAGAAAACTGGTATCAAGAAACTCCTTGTGGAATTCAGACACACAACCACATAACCACACAAACTGAAGATTGTATGGGAGACTCTCAGCTAAGTACAGAAAGTTGTATATCTTTCCCCTGCAAAACCTTCATTTATATTGTACATGTTCAAATAAACACACATTAAAATAAATAAGTTCTATTTGCTTCATATAAAATTCAGTTTATGTCCTTACAGCATGCATGTATTTCCCAGGAACTGATCCTTGTGCAATGAATGAAATATAATATAATGTTGTTCTAACAGCTGACTTAGGAAAATGAATAAGCTATAGAGGGAACAGAAAAAGGATGCTGCATATGACATTCCCGTTGTGGGCTTTCAAGCCAATTACTAGGTCATTTTTTATTTAGTTTTCTTTACAAAATCACAAATGTAATTTATCTAAACACCATCACTAGAAGCTCTGGTTTAGAGCAAAGAAATCCTTTTTACTTTTGCATCTCTGTACATCATTCAAGACAATTATCACTGTCAGTCGTACAATTCTTAGGTCTTCTACTAACATACTTCCCTGCACCCATATAAATCGGGTGCACTGTTTGGGTTTCTGCTGATAGAATGGAACAAATATAGAATTTACACGCTGGTGATGCATAAGAAAGAGTCTACTTTTCTCCTCCAGAAGGGGAACATAGTAACAGTGAAAACAGAAAAATATTTTGCTTCCGAACACAGGTCAGTACAGGCCTAACAAATAAGACCATTAAGGTTTTACATATGTACTTTGATATTAGGGACTACACTTATGAAAAATGGAGATAAGTTTTTTTTTTCCCCCCAAGACAGTGTCTAATTATATTGTGAAACTTATTGCTAGAGCATATTTTGAAAGCCAAAAAAAATTGAAAAGTAATTATAAAAAATTCATAGAAGTCGATTAAAGACTGGTAAGTATCATGACATAGGCACAATCTCCACCTCAAGAATTCCTAAATCCAACTATGACTTTTGCTTGAGTTAATCAGGCCAGTCTCACATGTTCTTGCTCTCTGTTGATCTATTTCCTTCATTATTTCTGTTTGATAGAAAAAAAAAAAAGGCAACCCTTTAGTAAAGATAATCTTTTTAATGTGTGTTTAAACACAATGCAAAAATTGTTTAACACAGGCAAACACTCAACCAAACAATCCTCTCTTCCTTCCTCTTCTGCCTGTGCTAAAATACCAAGACAAAACAACTTTTTTATGTGTGGATTAGACAGAGTAGAGAGAGACAGGACTAGACTGAATGCATAAGGATATATTAGCAAATGTGTTATTTGTTAAAAAAAATCAGAATTATTTAACAGATGTTTCCTATTTGAAAAATTCTGGAAGCTTCTTTCATCTTAAAACATTTTGTCCAAGGACGAATGTTCAATATAACATTATTTACCTCTAAGGCTCTGTTCCTGAAGGCCTCTTAACACATCCCAGACACTTCTCTTTTCTCTGCTAGTCCTGCTTTCAGCTAGAGATCCTCCTCAAGACCTTGAATTCAGAAAGGGCTGGATGTGAAACATACTGTTTCCTACTCCTGCCTTTTATGTACCTGCATGAAGGGAGGAATTATTCATGTGCTCACAAAATTTTTCTGAATTTGGCACTCTGGCAGGCTCACCAAACTGTAAGACAAGTTGCAGAAAAAGAGCAACCATGAGGAGATGATAAAGCTTTTTCTGAGCAAGCTGTCAGCTGGAAGGGAAGATAAGATAAAAGCCACTTTAAACATGCATTCAAGGATCACGGATTGATCTTGTGGGCCAAAGTAGATTATTCTACAAAAAAGTACATCAGCGTGTGGAGTTTTAAATGGGAGTTTATTGAAAGAGGCATCACTTTCAATCTTGGGACACAATATTTTCAAATTAGCATTCCTGGTTCATATTGGAAAAACTGACATTTTATTTATTAAGTACTTTATATTTTAGGATACTGTTAAGTGTTGCATATTTAATAAAACTCTCCTACACAACAGAAAAAAAGAAACCATCCTTATTCCATTTCTCTCAGTCAGTTTCCAATTTTGCTCTAAAAAAAAGAAATTCATCTGAAGTACAGTGAAAGACCATGGAACATTTCAAAGGCCTCATGCTCTACTCAATGAAGCTGGAATGATACTATATGTCTGCTAAAGATTTTTTTTCCTGATTTTCCCTTGATTGCCTTAACTAGCATTAATTTGTGAATTGATCTCATCCTCTATTCCCATTCCTCAAAATTTTCTTACTTCTTTCTATATAGCTCTTAAATTTAAAATAAGTGTGTCTAATAGTGATGTCCCACTGGATTTTCACCTATTAAGTTTGCCATAATTATGGACAGAGCTTGAAATGAAAACATTTGCACTGGAAATAGCAAAATAATTACAGAACTGATAATTTTAGTAATTAGTATGAAGACAGGTAAACATCAGAAAAATGCCAATAGGTTCTAATATATTCTATAAATCTACTTAAAGTTATAACATAACTATAGCTTAATATTTAAATATATGATTTGAATCTGATGTTTATGATGATATTCACATCCTAGTAAACATGGATATACCATAGCTGACATGTCAGAATTAAAAAACCTACTTTAAAAAAAAAATTCATATAACAAACTTCTTGGTGTTAGTTTTAAGCCTGAAAAATAAAGCTGTCTTAAAAGATCTATTAAATAGAATCATATACTCGGAAAAGCACTGTGGTTTATGGGGTCTAGCTTTCTACTAAATAATTTTGTCATGTAATCATTTAAAAAAGTGATCATACTTTACCTTAAAAGTGGTTTATTCTTCTTTCTTCTAAATATGCTTCTGAAGTTGCTTATTTTTTTATTACTATTACAAGTCAAATATGCTTCTTTTTGTTTTTTGTTTTTCCTTACTGTTCTTTAGTTCTTTGTCTAGTGTGGTATTTACAACTACAGCGCTTTAAATAGAGAAAGACGCATCTCTTAGTGTTCATTTTGTGAAGCAAAACAAGACAAACTCTTCAGGACTATCAGTTACTGCAGTGTAGTGTAGAACTGTTTGAAATATAGGTCAAATATTAGTTTAGATGAAATCAAAAAATGCTAAAATACTTCAGAGGTAAGCCAGGCACATGTGGACAGAACCAAGAACAGCACTGTTTATTCTAAAATGGAGCTGTCCACTTACTCCTGAACAGCTAAACCACAGAAAGATCATTACCTGACTTCCATATTCACAGTACAAACCCTTAACAGATTATTGTGCTAAGGTCAAATATTTGGTTCAGTCTTTAAAAACCTTTAAGCAACTGACCAAACTCATGCTAAGATTACCCAAGAAATGCCCTCTTTCTGCAATGACTTTCTTCCTGTAGTATTATATTGAAAAATAATACAGCTGTTGCTCTTCAAAGTGACATACCTGAGAAAAAGAGTTAGCAAAGTAGTCAGTACATACCTAGAGCTAAACTTTTGCTGACATGCCTTGATTTATTAGGTACAACTATCACTAGCTGACCCAGAACTAAGAAAATAATTGCTTCAAATCACAGATGGTGTATTTTTTATCACTTTGGGAGCCAAATGGAACGCTGATC